CTGAATAAGGCAAGGGCTTTCTAGCTACATAAAGCAAAATAGAAAACAGTGGTGTTTATGCAAGAAGTCCAAGGGGTATCAATGTTAAGTTTTTGTTAATAGGGCAGATGGGACATGAAAATAGATCACACTGGAGATTTAGGGTGTGTACAGAAGTTTTACAGTGCTGTAATTTAGAGCACTTTTTATAACTTTATAAAGCTATAATGCTCTTAAACACAATATAAGTATAGTGTTTGGGGGGGGGGGAAGGGCAGGCTGTGAGCCTCCCTGCAATTTCCAGATTCGGAAGCAGAGGATGCTCCACAGACTCCTAAGGCTTCTCCACTGGTCAAAAGTTATGTAAAGCCCTGTAGGTTGCTGAAGTTCTATAAGTTACAGCACTTCAAGTTTAATATCTAAGTCAACAAGGGTTAATGTAAAGCACTGTACCCATTTTGAAAGTGCTGTAAAGCCATACACGTCTGTTAAGTCATGGCAATAAAACGCTTTAAATGGCAAGAAAAAACAGCTCCTGTGCCCATGCCTACCGGAAGAAACTGGCTCATGGCCAGCTCTAAAGGCAGAGATACAAAGTTTGAGTAAGCACAGCAAAGGGAGGCGAGTGCAGAGCTTGAGAGACAAAGGGAACCACAGCAGCAAGCTGGGAAGTTATTGTAGGAGTGCCAGCGGGCAAGTGTGAGGCAAGGGCTACCTCTGGGAAAGGAGATGGCAGCAAACAACAAGGGCACACACTGCAAGCTACTGAACTGCAGAGAGGCAGCCCCGGGCTCCACTGACTTCCAGGGCTAGGGCCAGGGGCGCCCTTCTCAGCGTCAACAATACCCACGTCGCTCAGGTCGAAAGGATCAAACGCTTCACATCATTTAGGAGAAAGGCGAGAATCGCGCGGGTCCGGGCCGGCATCGCCCTCCCGACGACCGCAGAGCACCTGGACTCGAAGCTCCGCGAAGCCGGAATACGAGTCGCGGCGGGGAAGGCCCGGGCTGGGGCGCAAAGGGACTGCGCGAGCAAGCAGGCGGAGGCGGCGCAGTGGAGCTGTCTGACGGGCCCGGTCTCCCTGCGCCTTCCCGGCTGGGGCTGGGGCTGGGGCTGCCCCAGCCCCGCTTCCTGCACACCCTCACCTGCTCCTCAGACTCCGCTTGGCGCTGACAACCTTTCGCGCCTTTTCCCCCACTCGGAGCCTGCCCCCCACAGCCGCCAATCACACGGCGGAGTCGCAGTCACATGTCGACAACAGCTCTCGTATTGGCTCTTGCGTCCGCGCAGCGCCCCGCACCCGGAAACTAGGGCACTGATTGACTCTATTGGCTCAGCCGCTGCCTGTGGCCCTTCGCCCTGGGGGGTGTTTGTTACGTCACATGGAATGAGGGGCAGAATAGCTTGTTGTCAGGAGGGAAAGGGGCGTTCAAGGGACCAGGCCTAAGTGGGAGGTACATGCGGGTTATGACTCCGCCGGCGCGGGGCAGAAGTTGCGACTCTAGTTGAGCAACTGTGGGTTCGGAGCCGGTGGGGGGGAGAGGCGCGGGGCATGCCGGAACATGTAGTCCCGCCCGGGGGTCGCTCTGCCCGGCCCTAGTTTCCTCTCTTCTGTTTATTGTTTTGGTCTCGGGCTCTGCGCTCCGCCCCCTTCGCTGCGGCCAACCAGCAGGCAGAAGGGAAGGATTGGCAGTCACTCTGACCAATCGGCTCGCGGCAACGGCGAGGGGCTGGGTGAGGTCAATCCGCCATGTTAGGATCGCCATAACCGAGCGGAGGAGTCGAGGGCGCGTCCGGCCACGGAGTATCCGCGGGCGGTGAGAGCGAGCTTGTGGGCCCGGGCAGGCGGCGCCGAGGGGATGAGCGCGCCCCTGGGGCGGCGCTGGCGGCGAGCTCCCTCCGAGTTGAAGCAGGGTGGGAGGCTCCGGCCGAGCGCGGCTGCGGAGCGCGTTAGGCCCCGCGGAGGTTCCGGGTTGGTCCTGGCCGCTGGGTGCTTGGTGTTGGTCTCGATCCCGGCCGCTGGGTGCTTGGCCTTGGCCTCGGTCCCGGCTTGCCAGGCCCGCGGAAGCGGGGAAGCCCCGTCACTCCCGGCCCCGTAGGTGTAGACAGCCTTGCGGGTGCTTCTTGCCCGACGCGTCGGCCCAGCCGGCAAGAAAGCGGCCGGCACTGTGAGGCCGAGGAGGGCTGGGGCTGGGGCCGGGGCCCTGCTGCTGGCTCCTCGTCCATCTTGCCCTGCATGACTCATAGCTCGGGAATTGCTGCCTGTCACCTGGCCGCAGGTGGTAGTGCAGCACCTAATGGCCGGGCTGACAGAGTCTCCACTCAGCCCCGCTTTGTTCAACAAGTTTCTGGTTCAAGCTGCAAATATTTAAAGCAAACTCTGGCTCTTAAGGATCATGCATTTGCGCTCCCTGCAGAGCTTGTTCTGCCATGTTCTGACTGGTTTGTGAGTGACAGACGTTCTGCTTTGACAGCCCCACAGGATGGAGCCCCAGGTAAACCTCAGCGTGAGCTTTAAAGGAGAGACCCAGAGCTTCCTGGTTTCAGATTCATCAAACACTACATGGGCAGATGTGGAGGCCATGGTGAGTGGAGCTGCTTGCAGGGGCAGGTTTTCTAGATGCGCATTCACTATTGCTGTGTCGCAAGACAGTGCTTTGCTTCTGACTTGTAAACAAAATGGCAGCTAGAGACCTGGCAGAGAGGAGCATTTTGTGTCAAGACCACTTTGCAGGATGTTTTTTGGTAAATCCTTGGAGGAAAGCTGCTTGTACTGTTCTGATGTCATTTATTGAACAAATTTAGTAGGGAACAACTTGCTTCTTGGATGCCGATGATATGAAAGTCCATTTTCATTGCATTTCCAGCTCTACTTATTTGTTTCCTGCTAGATCCACAGTAGCCAAAACCTGACCCCTGTGTAACAATTTCTAAAGACAAGTCGAAAATTTTACCAGTTGCCTGAAATAGGCAAGCCTTTTCATGCTTAGATTTATATAGGTATCTGCGCCTTGGAAACTGTTCTGCAGGGAAACACCTGGCTTTGCTTACAGTTCAGTTCCAGCAATTAGCAGCTAGAGAATGGCTACACTGAAGCGTTTTCTTGAATCTGAAACGCTTGAAGATGTCGCTTAGTAATGGAGTGAAATACTTTGGGTCTTTTGATACTTGTGTTACTTCAGCCTTTGGCAACCCAAGAAAGGTAGGTATGTGAAATAAAGGCTGGTAACATGAGTGTATTGTTTCCTGATTGTCTGTTTGTTTAAAGGTTTCTGTGCTTAAGAGCATTGGTTTCAAGTCTCTCCTTATTGTGGTGTATTTACATAATG